TTAAGTTGGGCTTCTACCTTTATATATGTCCCTCTAATTTTTATTATATTAGTATCATGATATTATCTTAGAGATAAACTCCGGTGAGTACAAAGAGAATCATAAAGTTACTATATACCCACCGACGAGAGTTTCGATATTGACATATCTAAAACATATCATGCCATTTATTCAAAGGCAGACGTACTTGCTGAGTGAGCTTCCAGTAGGAAACTCTTATATCGCAAATCAAGTGTAAATTTATCTATCCAACATAAGTGATAATCCGAGTAAAATTTTATCCACTGTACACTCTAATTTAATTCAATGTGCCATTCCTACTAAGAGAAGCGTTTCTTGCGTTCTATATTTGCCATCCATTCATCCTTATCTTCCAAAGAAGAAGGATGATATGGAGCACGTTTTCTACGATGTCCAATCAGCAATGACACCTACTCACATCAATAATGCTACCACACACGTCGTTTTCATGTACGATGCTTGTGGAATATTGATCCACATAATTGTTGCAACATTTCAATCAGAAGGCAACTTTGATGTGATTTGGACTTCATTGCGATCAACATTTTAGTTGTTGATCGATCCCTATATATTAATAATTTTTTAAATAACACATATATATATATTTATTTATTTATTTTGCTTCACAGTAATGGGCAGAACAAACAACATAATTAAAGCAATATGGAGGTTTGGAGTAAAGAAAGGCAAGAGAAGGCATGGAGATTAGCGGTCGATATATCATCTCTTCATAGTGTGGAGTGTTCCTCCGGAGATATGTTTTGTTGAAAGAACATCTGATTGAAAATTTCCGACAGATCATGTTAGTAGACAATGAAAAGAAAGTACGTGGATGGCTTTTACCCCTTTAATGTTCAGTGACTTCAGTCAATTACAACCATCTATTACCCCGTAATTGACTCATTACAAGTACAATGAATTATTAGATTGCATGGAATCGGACTTTTAATGGATGTTTAAATTATCTATTAGCTTATATCACAAATCAATTTCTATTAACACTTATGCCATCTATATTATATCTCCTATATATTATATTAGTTTAGTGATGAACTAAAAAAGATTTGTTACACTACTATTGTCTCCTATATTTTCTCCTTTCTCCCGGAAGTCACCTGTCGAGCAATTTTCCGAGATGAACTTTTCCAAACTCTCATGCCAAAATTAGGTACACAATTAGCAGTGCAACGATGCATCCGTCGCGATAAAAGCAGAAGCATTTTATTTTTATTACTGAAGCAAAGCAACACCACACGACGGTACACGACATAGATTATAAGTAGATGGATGGATAGATGGATAGGACGGAGCGAGAGAAGACGACAGGCGATCACAAACACAATTGGATCACACCATCATCGCTAATTTCCCACCGGTTTCTTCGATAGCCCACTGCTGCGCCGGCTCTACTTTGGGGGCTGCAACAGGCCAGGGACAGGAGTTGGCCTCGCAGACCTTGGGGTCCATAAGATCGAGGCAAGTGCACTCGTTGAGGACACACTGGCAGTTGTTGCAGGCGGAAGGGCAGGAGCCTTGCCATATGCCGCCGCAAATGCACCAAGTAGGTGGGTAAATGAGAGGACACGCGCATCTGCAGCACGGCTCATCTTGCCTTGCCCCCACCGCACTCAGTGCCGCTGCAGCATGAAGAAGGAGTTAACGATGCCTCGATCTCCAGCCCAATCATAGATGTTCGCATGCATATTTACCAACCTACCTCTGGCGAGGGATTGCGGACGGGGTGTGACACGGGCTGCCGAGGAGTTGGTGGCGAAGAAAGCCAACAACGTCACGAGCAGCGTCACAAGTAGAAGAGACGACGCTTCACCTCTTTTGCCTCCTCCAGCCATCGCTTACCTCTGAACTTTCTATCACAACGTACCTGTGCAAGTATGAGGGAGTGCGTTTTACCTCATCCCTCCTCTTGTCCTATTTATAGTGCCACGATGCTTGAGCCATTAAGATTTGGTGTGTATGGTGGGACGTATGCGTTCATGAGAAGAAATAATGGATTCAGAATTCAACTCAAGTGTCTCTACTCGCTCTCGATTTTAACGTGGAACAACGACAGCAAGATAAAAAGCCGCAGCACCAGATTTTGGGAAGGTGTCGTCGGTGGAGATATTTTTAATATAACGTGGAAACGTTTTTCATTATTTTCACGTGGACTATGATTCTTTCTTGTCTTTGGCCAACGACCAACGTCGTTGAGAAAAACGAAGCTTCGCCCTTGTCTTCGGCCAGCGAGCAACTGCTCGCCACTGCAGCCATATTCCTAAGAGACTCCACGGCCAATCCTCATCTTCCTCACCACGGTAGTCTTTGCTGTCTTTGTTGATCTGTCAATAGTCGGTGGACTTAGAGAACGAAAGACGGACTTATTTGAGGAAAATTCTTTCTCATAATTTGTATAAATAAGAGAGGAAACATGTTAATGTATTGAAGCATTTTCATTTCTTCAATAAAGCTTCTTCAATAATTGTTCTATCTTCTATTCTTTTCTTCACTCCACACGTGTCAAGTGAATTATTGAATCCCATAGTCTCGATCGTTGAGGTGGCAACGTGAACAACGTGCTGCGTGGATGAGCAGAGCAGAAGCACTTGTGTGTGGATGAGCAGAGCAGAACAAGAATCGACTTGTATTTAACATCCAAGAGGTTCGTAATGGTGATGTAATCTCGGAAAGAGAAGGAAAGAGTTCAAGAAAGTTCCGATGGATAGAATCCTCCTTTTACCGTATATGAAGATTATTTTGTATAACGTTAGGGGAACAATGATGTGTTATCAGTTAATATTTTTAGTTTCTATAGATGATATCATCTTGATTCTGGGGTGATTGGATTGTTGAACACAATAAGACTGAGGTGGGCTAGTAATTGCTGCTATTACTGATACCAAAACTGATGCACTCCCTCCAGTCTCTCTTACCTTCCTTCAATTTTATTTGATATCAAGATTTTTACCAGTTAAATTAATTGATATCTTCAAAATATCAATGTTTTTTTGTTTCTGTGTCCATTGTGTCAACATTGGTTGTTGAGTCAATCTAGTTTGAGGCCAATTTGATGAAAGGATCCCATTGGATGACCTATAAAACTAAATAAAACGACATATCTGATAAAAATTCTTTCGATACTTGAGTTAGTATAACGAAGAAAAATACTATTTGAATTAAAAAAGAGTGGATCTCTCTTCGAAAAAGTGCTATTACTGGGTAATGATCAATAAAATCATATATGGAATCCTATATCATCTTTTTTTATTTCTTATGTACATGGAAAATGATTCCTTATCTAATTCAAAAATAATTTATCCAATAATTGTGACGCACTCGGGAATATCTTACTATAATTTTTATTTTACCGTATAATAGGTTTGACTAGCATTTATCCTAATAATGCAGTATATCAGAAATATGTTGATGTGGGCATACTACTACCTAAGCGAGATTGTTATGAGAATGATGCATGCGGATGATAATTAACCAAGTCAATTAATTTTTATTTACCAAACATAATTTGATTTAATGAATCATTTGTAAGATAAAGTTATTAATGATATAAGATTGATATCACATTGTTACAGAAGTAGAAGATTGATGATGCTCAGAAGTATTACCACTAAACCTAATGCAAGAATCCAAGACTGGGAAGGAAACCTAATCACAAAACTAGGAAGCAGAAAACCTAAATCAAGCATGCATGCAATGCGCATGCAACCAGATTACCGGGAGCCATGGAGCAAAAGTTCTTGGTGCTTGGCTGGAGGAGCGCAGGCCAGAGGACGGTGCACGATGACCTCGTCGAGGAGGCCAAACTCCTTGGCCTCTTCGGGAGACATGAACGTGTCGCGCTCCATGCACTGCTCGATCCGCTCGATGGGCTGGCCCGTGTGGCGGGCGTAGATGGCGTTGAGGCGATCGCGGACCTTGAGGATCTCCTTGGCCTGGATGGCGATGTCGGTGGCCTGGCCGGACGCGCCGCCGGAGGGCTGGTGGATCATGATGCGGGAGTGGGGGAGGGCGCGGCGCTCGCCGGTGGAGCCAGCGGCGAGGAGGAGGGACCCCATGGAGGCAGCCTGGCCGAGGCAGAGGGTGGAGACCGGGGAGCTGATGTACTGCATGGTGTCGTAGATGGCGAGGCCGGCGGTGACGGCGCCGCCGGGTGAGTTGACGTAGAGGTTGATGGTCTTGGAGGGGTTCTGGGACTCCAGGAAGAGGAGCTGCGCCACGACCACCGCGGCGATCTCGTCGGAGATGGCGCCGTTGACGCACACGATGCGTTCCTTGAGGAGGCGGGAGAAGACGTCGTACGCCATCTCCCCATGCTTGGTTTGCTCGATCACCAAGGGGACGCTGTAGGCGCGAGTGGCGCCGGCGGAGGAGACCACAGCGCGGCGGCCGGAGTGGCGGAGGGTTCCGGAGAGTGCTAGGCGAGGACACCACAACGGGCGGTGGCGGGTAGGACAGCAGCGGCGGAGTGGCGGATTACACCTGGGTGTATCGAGGACGCACGCCTTTGGATCCATAACTAAGACAGACTGCCGAGAGAGAGATATATATAGAGAACGACGATCGCATGTCTCGTTATCAGCGACGGGAAAGAAAGCAGTGTTGGAATTCAATTCAAACTTGACTTAGATAACGTAAAAGATATGATGGGATAGATTACGTCCAGTTTGATTGAAACATATATTTTTCTTAGATAACGTACTTCAACAAAGGCAAAGAAAAATGGTATTTTGTATTGAAAAGTATATTGTCAACAAGTTCCTTGGTCAAATAGCAGATCGAGGTATATGTATGTAAATATATATACATATACCTATCTATATATATTGATATGTACGCATAAATCCCGCGCAACGGCTGGTGTCGAAATCCTGCGGCAACAGCAGGGACGAATGACCATCTCATGCGGCACTTGCCTTCCACCGAGGGCAAATTGGCGGCCTCGTCACACTGCCCATGTCGACGGATCAACCCTCACGCTTTTCCCACTGCTTGGGCGCCCCAAAACCCTCGGAGAACCCTCCCCGCATCTCCCCACTTCCCCGTCTCTTGCCCACGCTCCTCCTCCATCGAAACCATGGAGATCGAGCAGTTGGAGCGGCCTGTTCGACAGCCGCTCAAATATCTCCAGCCACGAAGGTGCTTGATCGATTCTTGCCTCACCTTTTTTCTTGAAAAGGATCGAATCTTGAACTTTTTTTTCTCTTACTGAGCACTCAGTTACGAGATTAAGGTGTTTGAAGCCGCGATGAGGAAGAACACGATCGCTGTGCCGGAGACGGGGGCCGGAAAGACGTTAATCGCCGTGATGCTTATGAAGGAGTTCGGGAAGCGGCTGATCGTGGACGGTCAGAAGATGATGATCATTTTTCTGGCTTCAACGGTCAATCTTGTGAATCAGGTACTTTTTTATGAAACGAACTATATGATTGTAGTGTACCATGTTGTTTAGAGGTGGAATTGGGTTTTTTTTGCCTCATGATACAGCAATATGAAGTTATACAGGACTATACAGAGCTGGATGTAGTAGAATACTGTGGAGCGCAAAGGATTGGCGAGTGGAGCACTGATTGCTGGGAAAAGAATGTTAAAACTAGAGATGTAATTCTCTGAATCCTTTGCTATTTCCAGGGAATCCTACGTATACATATATACAATACATAAGCTATGCTGAATTTGGATTTTTCTAGGCGAAGGAAACCAGATGGTGTGACTGTTCTATAAGCTGTACACAGATTTGCATCGTGAATTATGCTCATTTCCATGACAAAATCAATAAGTTATAACTAGTGTTGTTATAAATTAGATATTTGTGTTACTAAGATGATGATGACACTTATTGTCATGATGATTACCACTGAAAGGTAGTAAAGCCTGTAAAAAAAAATTTCAATGTAGATTATATGGTGCTTATTGACATGTAGGCTAATGCTATTATTAAAGCTTGTTTTGTTGATCTAGTATGCTAAATGTTAACATGTACCCATTAATGATCTGAAATTGGTTTTACTAAAAATGATTGCATAAAGTTTTTATTAGCTTAAAAGTTTAGGCCCCTTAGTTCTGAAGTTTCTTCTAATAGTTATTGATCGGTTGTTGTTGTGTTGTTCATATGACTTTCCAACATTTTTTATTAGCTTAAAACTTTAATCCCCATTTCTCCTTTTTCAGTATCTCCAGCATTTCTAACGCTTTAAATCATAAACTTGGGAGTCTTTTTACAATTGCTTTGTTGCATCAGAGGTCTCAGGAGACAGATACTTCATTCACATATTTGCTCAACACTTAAGCTATACACTAATTTAGAAAGCTACCCAATCTGAATACCTATATAATTTGTAATGCACACTTAAGGGGCATCAATATCGTCTATGAACATGCATACATCGGGACGAGAATCTGTGATGAGGAAGGATTTCAACATAAATTTGGATAACAGGAACATTGACTCTTTATTTTGGATGCTTGTTACTCAAAATTAATTCTTTCTAACTCCATGTGGGTGATGGCAAACTAAAGCTGTTACATGAACAGATTATAGGAATGACATGGGAAAAATTAAGATGTATGTACCTGTTTTATGTAGATCTTTCATCTTTTATCTCATAGCATGATCAAAATTATATACACAATAAAAAGAAATACCATCATTTCATATCTGTCACATTTCAATCAAAAAAATGAATCTACTTAGTTAAATAAGAAGTTTTTGGCTACTTTATTTTGCAGGTTGTGGTGATGATTCCCCAGATACTATTGGATGCTTTAAGGCGTGCATTTCAGACTCTAGACACAGTGCAATTGATTGTTTTTGATGAGTGCCATTGTGCTCGTGGTAATCATCCATATGCAAGAATAATGAAGGTGCCGGAAAAGTCTGGTTTACTGGTTAAATTTCCTTGTATTTGTTGCATTTTCTTTCATTTGGTGCAATAGTTACTTTCTCGATTATTTTGTCACAGGAATTCTATCATGATACTGGATGCAAGCCAACCATTTTTGGAATGACAGCATCTCCTGTAGGCGGCAAAGGTAACCACTAAAAAAGTGATGAACAATTTTGGTTTTGTAGTTCAAACACCAATTTTAATTTCTTGTTAGTAGAGCTAGATATTCCTTTAATGATTCACCAAGGTGTCAATGTGTCACTGTATAGAAAATTAGCACATATTTAAAGTCACTTTTGCATGTTCTGGATAGTTTATTCTACTAGTATTAGCTGGACATGGGGCATGGTTTTCAAGTCTTCAAATGTCCAAAAAATAACAATTGAGGACTCGTAAACTGCTGGAATATGTGGCTTCAATTTTAGGATTAGTAACTAGAGAACAATTGTTAAACAAAAAGCTCTTTCATTTAATTGAAGTGACTGAGTTTGTGTGTGGCATTAATCAGACTTAATAATTTTCTTTCCCAAGTTTAAAATGAATTGACAAAATAATATTCATACTTAATGCACTTGTGTGAGGTTTCTAGAAAACTGAAGTTGTTGTTTCTGAGTAAGATAATATTGTCATCATGGGTATGTGTACAAACAATGAAACAAATACTGACAAAATATGTAACGGGCCCACAGCTGACTTAAGTAATTTGAAGTCATCATCTTAATTCTTTCCATTGCACATTTCTATGCATGCGAGTAAAATCAGGTTTTTTGCTCTCATGGTCATGCTCACGAGAAATTATTACTATAACAAATTCACAACCAAACAAATCATTCAATTGCTATCTTGCTCCACCAACTCTCTTTTAAGTTCCATTGTTTAATCTTGCAAATATTCATCCACCAACTCTCTTTTCTATCACTTCTGTGTTTTCTCTTTTTGAATGAGATTCTGGCTTGTCTACTGAAGATGTGTTTGCCTTGTTGAACATAACCATTAATAACAAAGCATGTGCTAATTTTGCAGCCAGTAAAAGTATGTATTGAAAATATTTGCAGCCTAAATATAGGAGATTGTGAGTTTTCCAAATCAACAATTCAGTTGGTTATATCTTTTCTTAAAGAAGCCTTATGTACAATAGAAGCAATTTTACCATGTGGTATGATTTTTGTCACTCCAGATTGATTACTTATAATAAGAATGAGATTTTTTTCAGGAGTATTCCAGCATATTTATTTGTGATGATTCCATTTACTTCATCTGACTCTGTATATGATAGCTATCAGTGCATTATTATAACTTATCTGTCATTGTAGACAGACATAATGCAGTAGTTGCGAGAAACCATTAAATTGTTTTGCACCTATATATTCTTCCTGTATATTTGTTTCACAAATCTTTTAACTTTGATTATCAGCATCTTTTTACAGTTCCCACTTGAGCTTCCTTCTTGTATTTGTTATTTATCTTAACAATAAAATATTTCTGCTTTATTGCTTTGCCCCAAAAATTATGTAGAAGAGTTGTATTTCTTAATGTATCCCAAGTTTGTCCTTGTCCATCTCAGATTACAATGAACTCATAAAAACAGAAGTCGGATATGCAATGGGAACCAAAAATGGATTTATATCTTCAAAGTTGGACAAACTAGTTGAAATTTCTCAATCACTTAGGTAAAGGCTACTTTTCCAGCTAGTCTTTTCGTCTCCTTTATTTCATTTTTACAACAGTTTATGTAAATTAATGTCAACTTTTCTTTGCAGATTAGAAGAAGAGGTATACTGTCTAATTTTAATGGAAAGAGTTATAACTTCTAAAGTGATTGAAAGATTTATGAGAAAGATCAATATCACACCACATTTTCCAGTGTCTTACTTAACTGGTGGAGGTTCATCAAAAGATTCTTTAACCCCAAAATTGCAGAGAACCGTTATTGATTCTTTTCGAGCTGGGAAGGTCTGATATGCTCAGAAGAGATTAACTTGAATGAATGACTGATGTTCTTGGTTGCATATTGCCATTAACTTTGGAAATGCATTGCAGGTGAATTTCTTGCTCACTACTGATATAGCTGAAGAAGGAGTAGATATACCTAATTGTTCCTGTGTGATCCATTTCGACTTACCTAAAACAGTTTGCAGTTATGTCCAGTCTCGTGGCAGAGCACGACAAGTTAATTCAAGTTTTATTCTCATGCTTGAGAGGTAGTGTCATTTACTGTAGTCACTTGATCCTAGTTGTTCTTTAACCAATGATTCTATAATTTTCTGTTACCTCTTTAGTTGGTAAGTTATTTTTGTTTTATTTAGTTTTATTCATTTTATGGAAATTATAGGCCTTGTTTTACGTGCACTTAATGTTGTCTGGAATTTCTCTGCTAGTCTACTTCTTAACTTTGCTCAAGGAATTTTTTAATAACAAATATAAAAAAAACTAATAGTTTGCATAGAACAATCAGGATTAGGTGGTAGAAGCTATAACTAATGCAACTATGAATCTATGGAGAATATGATCGTGACTCATGAATGAATGCTGAACTGAATTTAAGCATAATTGCATTGTTATTTTCCAGGATTCCATCACCATAAGCTCCTGTCTGATTTACCTGTCTCATTCCTTGTTTAAATAATCTCATTTTGGCATTAGATTGGAATCTTATATTTATATTGGGTGATTTATGAAGCATTAAGCCATCACAAAATAAACATGTTAGGACTCTGGACTTCTGCTTTGATCTTTTCATTTCTGTCTTGTAAGAAAGTAGATTGGCAAGCTAAACAGGTTGTCTCACTTTCATCTTTGTAGTGGAGCTTGTGTCTGACTATTATTAATTAGGAAGTATAATTCTTAAGTAGGGACTCTATTTGTTACAGGGGAAATGATGTACAGAAGGATAAAATCTTTGATATTATCGGAAGTGAAAATTACTTGGGAAAACCTTCTTCTAGAGACAATAAGACATTTCTCTCTAATGGTCATGGTGAAGAAATAGATGTTTATTGTGTCAAGACAACAGGAGCAACAGTAACTGCAGAGTCCAGCATTAATCTTATTTACAAATTCTGTGAAAAGCTTCCAAAAGACAGGTAAGTTTTTGCTGAGACGATTATCAATTCTGCATATAAAAAATGGCTAAGTTATGATTTTTTTCCTTATATGTAAAATGGTCTTTAGGTATTTCATTCCAAAGCCATTCTTTGAGTTATATGAGAAAGATGGTTCATACGAGTGTTCGTTGACTTTACCGCCCAATGCGGCATTTCAAAAAATAATAGGTCCTATGAGCTGCAGCTCTAACTCAGCAAAGCAGCTTGTGTCTCTAAAAGCCTTTAAGAAACTGCATCAATTAGGAGCACTCAGTAATCATCTACTTCCTTTTCATGAAGACCCTCAGGGGAGCACTTTCTCTGGAGCAGGTAAGAATTCTTTTATTGTCTGTTTAGGAATTACTCTTATTAGCACATATCTGCATGATATTTGGTTAATACAGTGATAAAAAATGTTACCGTACGTGATATTTAGCACATTATACATATCATCACCAGATATGCATCACTATGCTAGTACAAGAATTATTCTTTGTTGGTTGGCTAAATGTATTCATACTTACTTTGATTTTTTTTTTGTGAGGCATATCATTCTGCTTCCACATAGAGCAAGTGTTGTACTCAACTACGAGACACCTTTCTTTAGATTAATAAGCCAACAAAATAGAATGAATAGATAATGATCATTGACATTTGATGATCTTATAATGGATTAGGTTAAGTTCTTATAAGTAACTATGGAGTTAATAAGAGAGAATTTTAAGTACTTTGACCAAGAAAGAAAATATTTGATGGAAATAACATTCTAGTCCAACTGACTAAAATATCAGGCACAATATTCTTTACCTCCAATGCTTACCCAGTTCTAGGTCTAAATGTTGCACAGTAAATCTTGCTAATTTCAATCTATTTCTTTTATAAAGTGCATTCCTAGTGCACAAGGCTCCCGCATAGGGTTTAGGGTCTGGGGAGGGTCACTACCTCAAATATTTTGGTATCCACTTCTACTTAATAGATCTTGTTCTTCTTGTTATTTTCTTTAGATGAGTGTATTTGCCCGGTCAATTCATTCATCAATGGTGCACTTCTTAGAGGTTTGGTTCTTAAAAGCATTTTTCCTGATATCAGTTTGTTGTCTATGAAAAGCAAGGAAGTCACTGTAACCTGATGGCTGATACAAAAGGCATACTAAGGTACTTTGTGAGGCACCCTCCAGATAATTTAAAGCCAATTTTACTGACATGGTGTCCGGTTGCTCCAAGCCAACGAAGCAACATTAAATTATGGCCTGACAGAAATGTCTTTTTACTGCCCATTCAAGGGTGTTTGAGACACATTTTCTGTCATTAATGGGCGCTTAATTTGTATATATTGTGATACCAGACATTTCCAGCAAGAAAATGCTGGAGAATGCCATAGGTTGTAGTCATTTATAGAAAGGACATTTTTCATCTATTTCTTTGTGTGTTTTCTGCTTGTTTCTCTTCAGGCATGCTTCTGTTAGCATTGTGCCATACTGGACTGTCACAACTTCATGTGTGGAGACTTTTGCCAACTGGCATTTGAGGAGTCATGCAAAGTTATGATTCTTGCTTGAAAATATCCAAAATGAATATGTTCCATTGGCAAAGTGCTTCTCGTCATGGAAATATAAATGTCAGTTTGTCCATCAGAATGGCATTATTATGTGTTTCAACATATAGAAGACCTTTCAGTATTTTACTTGATTTACTTAATTATTAATTCGTGCAAGCATTAAATAATTTGAATCATCAACTCATTTTTCATTCTAAATGCGGCAATCTTATTATAGTTTCAAATTTCTTTTCTTATACTAATTTATGTATGTAGCGAAATATAAATGCTATATGTGGTCATTGTGTAAATAATTTATTACATGCTAGAAAGACATCACAAGGGAAGCCATTTTTACATCAAGTCATATGGAACCAGAAAATTTGTGATATTTTTGCAGTCATTTTCTGCTTCCATGAATGAGCATAATCATGTGCATGGCTTCTTATACATCAACTTAGATTTGTTATTGCATTTATTAAATTGCCAAGTCATTTCTTTGGGTGATTGAAGGGACAACCAAAAGAAAGGAGCTTCATGGAATGACAAGTGTCCATGCTTTATGTGGATCTTGGGCTCACAAGCCGGATAATGTGACATTGAATGCATATAAGGTGCATTTTGTTTGTGACCAGGAAGGTGAAAATTACTCAGATTTTGTTCTGTTAGTAGGCTCATCACTTGATGATGATGTTGCAAGTGCAGAAATAGTGCTATCCTTGATCCCTAACAAGGTCATCACCTCATATGTTTCTCCCTGCGGGAAGGTCCACTTAAGTGCAGAACAGGTCCTCTGGAGAAAACTAATCTTGGAACTTAGGTGCATATTAAGAATTTGGTTGTTTAACTGTCTCAGATGCCCTTAATGTACTTCATTGTTCTTTCAGGTTGAAAAGTCAAAACTATTTCAAGAATTCTTTTTCAATGGGATATTTGGTAGGATGTTTACTGGATCAAGATCATCAGGCTCTCAAAGAGAATTCTTATTTAGGGAAGGACATATGATATCATGGAGCTCTATGAACATGTACCTGCTTTTACCTCTTGAGTCCTCATCAAATGATAATGGTTTCAGTATATATTGGAATGGGATTCACGCATGTGTGGCTATAGTGGAATACTTGCGGAAAATATACTCAACAGATGATGAGTATCATTCTGGAAATTCAACCACTAGCTGTACATCTCCATGTGAAACAAATGGTGAGAATGCAGAAATTGTTCAGTTGGCAAACAAATCTCTTCATATTAAGTACCTAAAAAATTCAGTAGTATTTTCAATTCATAATGGGAGGATCTATTCTGTCCTTGATGTGATAAATGATGTCACCCCAGAGGATCCATTTGATGATAGTTGTGGCATGAAGCCCTCACAGTTTGTTTCATTCATTGACTATTACCATCAGAAGTAAGTGACTTTTTCGTCAGCAGCCTCATATTTTGTCATATTATCACTTTTTGCTCTTACATGTATAACACCAGTCTTCAATTACATAGGTACAATATTGTGCTTCACTATCCGCAACAGCCATTGTTATTATTGAAACAAAGTCATAATCCTCACAATCTTCTTTTAAAATCAAGATCTGAAGGTTTGTGAATACGAAACATAATCTGTACCTATTAATTTTCTGTCAAATCATCCATAGTACTGGGAGTTTAGATTGCACATGATGCATTAAGTTTTTCTGAAATAATACATCATGTTTATCTTCATTAAGTCTTGTGCTTTCTGTAAAGAGTGTCATAGAACATACATAACTCTATTTGAAATATCGTGTAATGCAAAAACTACACAATCAGCTGTAAGGTGAGACTTTTGATCTTTATTGCAACTATAATATGTTATGCAACCAAGGAGTAATCCTTAAGAAGTAGAAACTGAGAGTGCATAGTTCTTTGTCAGAAACATGTGCATGTCTCCAGCAAACTAAAGATGAATAATCAAATGAGACATTCCAAGATCCTGGGGTAGTGCCTAAAGGAGGGTTCAAACTTCACTAGAGAAAAAAGTAGTAAAACATATGCATCCATAATTATTATAGTATGTCATTTTGTGATATGAATTGTGGCAGATGTTTCCACTGGTGAAAGGTAATCATGGAGAAATAACAAGTACATGTTTGTTCTGCCTCGATTTTCTGGTCCACATTGATCTATCAACTGACATTTTGAACACAACTCTAATTTGACAAATCTCGAGTAATGAATCTTAATTACCAGCTATTAAGTGAGAATTTATATCTTTATGGCAACTGTACAATCTTATGCAACTAAGAAATGATCCTTAAGAACTAGAAACTGAGAATGAATATTTATTTGTCAGAAAATCTGTGCATCTTCAGCAAACCAAAGATGAATTATCAAATGAGACATATTCCATGATTCTGGAGTAGTGCCTGATGGAGAGTAAAAGACTACAATAGTGAAAAAAAGTACTAAAAAACATTCTTAATTATTATAGTATGTCATTCTGTGATATGGATTGTCGCAGATGCTTCCACTGGTGACAAGGCAATCATGGAGAAAGAACAAATACATGCTCGTTTGCCCCCTGAACTTCTGGTCCACATTGACCTATCAACTGATATTTTGAAGTCATTTTATTTGCTACCTTCAGTAATGCATCGACTGGAGACATTGATGCTAGCCAGCCAGCTTCGCAAAGAAATTGGTTACAATGACCTTCTAATACCAAGCTCACTGGTCTGTGTTTGTAATTATCTTTTTTTTGTGTCAATCATACAGTATCATAGACTTTTCCTTGTCCTATTCAGATTTTGGAAGCAATGACAACTCTAAGATGTTGTGAGAATTTCTCTTTGGAACGTTTGGAACTACTTGGTGACTCAGTGCTCAAGTATGCAGTGAGTTGCCATCTGTTTCTGAAATATCCAAAGAAGCATGAAGGACAGCTATCTGATTGTAGGTCACAGGCAGTTTGTAACTCAACACTTCATAAACTGGGAACAGGTCGTTCCATACAGGTATATGATCTTTCATGATTTCAGTTGCTTAGACTTGCCATTCACAAAGAACCAAAAAAATAATGAGTTTTACCTTTTTTGGATTTATCTTAGTTTGAAATAGACTATTTGGTAAATAGGCATTACAACTCTTCCAATACTGTCCTTCAATCCAACTTTTGTCTTATGCCAGCGCTCAAATTTGGCAGCCATCAACAATCATAGCTGACAAGAAATATTATCCTATTCCCGTCATCCATATGTAAACATCTGGTTATATGACAGATACTTCAATATTTTTCTCATTTAAACACCAGCAATGATTTACAACGAGATGTGCAGCTCAGTATGTAAGAGACCTGGTCCAGACATTGAAACTGGACTAATATATGTAAACTTATAATTCAATTTTGGGTCAGTAGGTTGTACGTCCAAAATTGAGAAAACCTGGAGGAACAAATTCAAAAATCTTCTGTGTACCAAAGAAAACAATTTTTGGGTTCGTAAAAAAAAGAGATTGTTAACTTAAAGAAACCTAGATGGACAAGCTGAGAAAACTTTCTCCTATCGAAGAATGTATGTCACAACAAGAATAGTGCCAATAATGTATGATGCCAAGAAAGCCTATCTAAGTTAAATTATAGAAGATAAGCCAAAATTTAAATTGCTACCCAATTAATGAAACTCAAAGTTTGATGGAATTAAATACCACACTTTTTTTATACTTCTATTTTCTTATAGTACTTAGTGGTGTCATATTGTTGTTATTGATATTCTGGTTGGTATAATAATTTGACTGGTGATTTGTCATGCATTTAAACTTTTTATGTAGCTTATGCAGTCCTAGTTATCACCAAGGAATGCTTCTACCATACCTCCCTCTTTCTAGAAAATAAATATTAGACCTGTATTCACAAAATGCCTATGGCAATTTGTGGCCACCATTTAGTTACAATGTTATCTTATGCTACTCATTAGTTGTTCTGTGGGAAAAATTTTGGTACAAGAATTGTTGTCACATGTTATTGGAGTGCACCAATACTTCTTTAACACAACAGGTACCCAGTTGTGATAGTCTCTTGCTCTATGCCAATTGACACATCCAAGAAATTTGCCTCAACATGTTTTAGCAACCAGCATGTCTCAACATGGCACATGTTGATACTTTCTAAGTACGGTACTTGCTAACACATAATGTTGGACCAATGATGTTCTGAATTTTATTTATAGAGACTTGTTAATTTAATATTTGATATACGATTTTCCGCTTTATAATTTTTATATTGCTTTTGTTACAATAATTCTTAATGTGCAGCTTTTTAACAACTATGCAGGGTTATATACGAGATAGTGCATTTGATCCTCGACGTTGGCTTGCTCCTGGACAGATTTCGATCCGCCCTTTCCCTTGTATTTGCGGCATAGACACCTGCAATGTGCCTCTTGAAGGAAAATACATGACCGAGGAGATCTCTGTTGTGGTTGGAAAACCTTGTGATAAAGGTCACCGGTGGATGTGCTCTAAGACAATTGCAGATTGTGTTGAAGCTCTAGTTGGAGCATACTATGCTGGTGGTGGTTTACCTGCTGCACTTCAAGCAATGAGGTGGTTGGGAGTCGACATCAAAATGGACAAGGTGTTAGTTGAGGAAGCCAAGAAGAGTGCATTCCATTGGTATCATCTTTCTAAAGTTAGTGAGATTGAATTCTTGGAGTCAAAACTCAACTATATGTTTACAGTCAAGGGATTACTACTAGAAGCCATCACACATCCATCACTGCAGGAGTTAGGACTTGACTACTGTTACCAGGTTATCGAGTGGAACTTGCTTTTCATTTCTTCCTTTTAATTTCTAGTGGATTTATGGCTTCTTTTTTTTTGTTTTGACACCTCTTCCTAGGGGCTAGAGGCACTATCTCATTCTAATTTAGTAGAATATTGATTGTAGCAAATATAAATTCTTATTTTTCCTTTCAGAGACTGGAATTTCTAGGTGACTCTGTATTGGACTTGCTTATTACATGGCATCACTTCCTGAGTCATAAAAATATTGACCCTGGAGTATTAACTGATTTGCGTTCAGCATCAGTTAATAATGAAAATTTTGCGCAAGTTGCTGTAAGGAATAACTTTGATAATTATCTTCGGCACAGTTCTGGAATACTCTCAGAGCAGATAAAAGACTATGTTACTAGAATTTCGAGTTATCATTGTTTCAATGATATGCTGTTACCAGTTTTTCTGCCCAAGGCTCCAAAGGTTCTTAATGCTTGTGCACTAATTATTCTCCTGTATACTTTTATGCTTATCCCTGTCATTTTATCTGCTTATCAACATATGAATCTCATTGTAAGCTCCAGAGTTAAGTCCTGTGGCACTTAGGTCTGCTAAAGATTTTTTTTTAGGTTCAAACTTGATGATAATTTATGCATATGCTGGTGTTTTCTTGGTTCAGGTTCTTGGAGATATTGTAGAAAGTATAGCAGGGGCAATACTAATTGATACTTATCTCAACCTTGATGCGGTTTGGGATATATTTAAATCACTGTTTTCTCCTATTGTCACTCCCGATAATCTTGAATTGCCTCCTATACGTGAATTAAGTGAACTGTGTAGTTATTTTGGGTATTTTATACACACAAAAAGCATGAAGAATGGGGAAGAGGTTCTTTCTGAATTAACAGTTCAGCTTAAGGATGATTTGTTGGTAGGATGTGGAAGAGACAAGAACATGAAGACTGCAAAAGCACAAGCAGCTTTATGCTTGTTGAAACAACTAAAGGTCAGATCGTTTTATTTATTTATTAGTCTTATACTTCAATAGTTTATCCCCTAACTCCATACATATTGAAAGAAGTTAGATATTCACAGTATTTGATTTGTTTGTTCTTTTGAAAAATTTTGCTTTGAAAGTTTGATTTCTTTGTTAGTCTTATACTTCAATAATTTATCCATATTGAAAGAATTTAGACATTCACAGTATTTGATTTGTTTGTTCTTTTGGAAATTTTGCTATTTGCTCACAGAGGTCCTCTGGACAATTTGTTCTATGTTCAGTTTGCTTTGTTTATTAGTATTGTTCCATGTAGCTTTTATGTGTTGGGAATGTGGACAGTGTTTCTTTGTTCTTTATATCTCTACATGGTGTCTTAAGATGAACTCTATAATGGCAGACAAGAGGTATTTCACATGGCCAAAGTATTTCCAAAAGGAAGCAAGACAGATATATCTTCAGTGACAACTCTTTTCTTTCAACTACATATGTAAGGAATACAACTTCAAAAGTAAGTGAAATTACTTAAATCTGACCTAACTGGATGATGTATGATTATTTTTTCAGTTGGTACAGTCTCGATATTGTTCTCTTTTGTAGGATAATGGTTATCTAGAAAATAATTCCAAGTTGACAAAGGCAAAGCTAAATAATCCAGGTAAGTGTGGTTCATTTGCCTAAAATTTTGATTTTGGAATAAATAAGGTTCCTTTCTATTTCCTTTAGTGTGCATCTTATGTTAATGTGCATAAATTCTCGACATGTAGGACCTTCCAGTAACGAACTATCTTTCCCTTATTCCATTTTCTTGACAAGTTAGTGCAGTTTGTTACACATGTTAACATCTTTTGCTTCTCTCTCTCTCTCTCTCTCTCTCTCTCTCTCTCTATATATATATATATATATATATATGTATATGTATGTATATATGTATGTATATATATATATACATATACATATATGTATATATATACATATACATATACATATCATGCTTTGTTGTTGTTGGACATAGGTTTTCTCAGTATTGTCTAGGTTTCTCCTGCCTAGGGATGCATGTGTGGCCTCTGTTGCTTGGAACTCTGGTTTTGCACAAAGTGATAAGATCTTGTGAAAAGGTGCCTCTTAGAAGTCAAGCATCAGGAGTAGAAAAATTTGCAAGTAGCCTATGAAGCCTCCTAAATACAAATTAATTATGTGGTAAATGATAGGAAACTTTAGAAATAGTGAAGTATATTGAGTTTCTGCCAGTTCTGCTTATTATTTACGTGCTGCATCTTTTCTCCTACTAGTAATGAGATCCACCCGTTGAGTTGACTATCAGAATAATTGAATCTGGAGATTCACATGAGTCTATATGATTCCCCCAAATAATAGATCAAAATGCAAAAACAAAAAAAAATGTTTTAGGAAAATGTAAAAATTAAAAATATGTAATGTGACTAGTCCATTTATATAGAAACAGTAGGCCCTAAATAATTAACGACGGCATGCTTATCTTAAGAGCTGCAGTCCTTTTCTAATACTGTTTAAAATATGGAATCTGGATGTAAGACTGAATATCACTGTTTACCATCCAATTTAAACTGGCCTTACAAGCAGCCAATGTGTGAAGAACTTATCTATCATACCCCATAGAGGAAAATACAGGTTCTCATTATACTCATATACATTTTTCATGATGGAATACTTTAAAACCTGCCTTTTTGCTTATGGGACTGAAAACTCAAAAAGTTAAGTCAGACAAGTTGGTCAACAGATATCACCAACAGTTGTTTTCCCTATTAAATATACATCTTTCTATTTGAGTTTTAGCTAAGAATAAGGGTCACAAACTATCACTTAATCCCTTATATTGTTTCAAATGGACCTTTATACTTGTTTATAAAATTTCCTTAGTGATTTCAAAGCGTGTAGTTTCAATAACTTTAACCAGCTTTGCGACGTGTGTACATATCAAACTGAAAGAACAAATGAAAATCAGGGGATTGTATTGTTGATAAATTTCTTATGACAAATTTCCTTCTCTGTGTTATTCCATCTGTTGTATTGAATGGTATCCAGAATTGCATTTGTAACATTTGTAACATATCAAACTGAAAGAACAAATGAAAATCAGGGGATTGTATTGTTGATAAATTTCTTATGACAAATTTCCTTCTCTGTGTTATTCCATCTGTTGTATTGAATGGTATCCAGAATTGCATTTGTAACATTTGAAACTATCTTATGATAGTTTTCATCCAACTACATGCAAGTCTTTTGCCTGCTATATAATCTTCTTCTAACATGGCTAAGAGATTGTGGTCCATTTATGACTATAGTAACGTTTGCATGTTTCACAGGTAAATGGATGTTCCTGTGGCCAAATGTTTTGTGAATTTTGAGAGAATTGCAACACATATAGTCATTAATCAAGTGTTTAGCCTCAAATCAGCCTACTATTTCATAAAATCTATTTCTTTTTCCAACTTGTTTGCCCTGCAGTGCATCCAATTACTCTTCCAATGAGGATGGACAAAGGGGGCCCCAGGACTGCTCTTTTCAAGCTTTGCAGAATACTACAGTGGCCAATGCCAGAATTTGAATCACGAGAAGAAAACTTCAGGTTATTCTAGTGAATGACAAAACTTATTTATACTAAATAGTTGTTTATGATTTATGGAACTCTCATATCTGAACAAAAGGGATGGCTCTGATAACAACCAAATGTTCCAGATTCACTAAATCTATGGAAGACTTAACACTTTGACTCACTTTATTTTTATCTTTTGCAGAACTCCGATAACACTAAATGGAGTGAAAACACCAAACTTCAACCTCTTCACAACAAAAATATCACTGCACATCCCAAATTCCAAAGTTCTTACACTTACGGGCGAGCAAAGAACAGACAAGAAAAGTGCACAAGATTCAGCAGCACTTGTGCTGCTCCTTGAGCTCAAGAAACAAGAAGTATGCATCCTCGAGGAGCCATGACCGGTGCTGGCAAGTACGTAAGATTGTCCTTTGGTTATTGTATCCTGCAAAACTCAGATCCAGATTGTCTTAGTATATGCGAACTCAATTTAAGAGAACTTTAGAGGCTTAAACATTTCTTGGTCAGAGCCTCTGATTGCTCGTATTCTTGGTTTATAGAGATCAAATTATCTATGCAATTCTTTTGTCTATTATCCTCTGCAATCGTGGATAACTCTGGTACACTTCCACAGTCCACTGGAACAAGCAGATCTCTGATCTAGTTGGCCCTGTTATTTAAAACCTAACAGGTTAAGATTTGCCAAACAGTTTTCGTTTGGTAGAATGAATCATATAGTTTGTTGATTAAGATTTGCCAAAGATACTTTGTTGATTAGTTTACTCTTGTAGTCTCACATACTAAATTATAGGTCTATTTTGGTTGTATGCTGCCCAAATCATCATCTTTCTAAATATGAATTAGAAAGAAAAGTAATGTTAAATGGACCATATCTCACCTTCATAATTTACTTGAAAAGGAGCGCCTAAAGAGGATCAGTATATTTAGTCCTGTTTCTCAAAGGAATTAATAGTAACCATTTTAGTATAATAATTTTTTTTCTTCAAAAAATGATGAATTTCTTACACGTGAAACTCTGATTCAGATCTCTAATAACCATTGTTTAGACTAATGAATTGAGAGAAAATAAAAGAACAAAGTAATAAATCCCAATGTACATTACATTGATCTATTACTGTCATTGATTTTTATACAAAAAATATATTCTTAATTAAATTAATAATATTTATTATAGTTTCTAATATTTTTTTTTATTTTTTATTTCTATTTCTTCTTGTACCATTATTATTAGCATGCATGTCTTATTACATGTTTATATGGCCTTAAACGTTTCATGGTTATCTTAATTTTTTATCGAAGCTGCACATCATTAGTAGTATTATTAAAAGAACATGAAGCTACATCTTAATAGTGGTATTAGTAAAAGAACACATTAGGAGTCTAAAATAATTATAGTATCAATGATATAAATGGAAGAAAAACCTCTATATGTAATGATGCGTAGAAAATCTCCCAGAAATTAAGTGACCTTTGCACTTCTATCATAAATCAAATCATTTCTCTTTTCTCATCCATTCTTTATGTACGACCTATGTAGATAACATCAATTATTTCAACTGCTAACTAAAAACATTGAGGAAAGACAACATATGTACACCATAGCTTGTAATTAAGAATAACTAATTATAACATCCGGTATCTTTTTTCCGTTATAATTACCGAAATCATTAAAACGGCCGTTATTTCAAACGTATTGGCTCGCTAATTGAAAAGCTTCCCCTTGCACCCATCCGCGCCTACTCCTCTTTCTTCCTGCTGCGCCCCCGCACTCTTCGATTGGCGTTTCTCGCTATCGTTCGTCGTAAAGAGCTCTTCCGTCGTCTCAGCAACCATTTCGTCGAACACATCTCGTTGAACTTCTAAGTTGAGTTCGTGCCAGTTTCTTCTTCCCTATCCATATGATGACTGTGAGATCGATCAGAATGACCTGCTTGTTCTCCGCCCCCATATCCTACAAATTTGATCTTTTCTTCGATCCTAACCCTAGTTACGGTCTGCATACCAAGGATTCCCCGATCGATCCCTCCCTCTCCACCAATCTGCTCGCCCACCAGCTGCTCGATCTATTCTCCAAGCCACCCAAACACCGGGACGCCGAGGAGCTCCAACGTCTCGGCCGCAGCCTCGTCCCGGCGACCGCAGAGGCCGTCATCAAGGGCCTCAGGAGTTGGAGGACCGCGCACGAGTTTTTCCGGTGGGCGTCGTGGCAGCACGGGTTCCGCCACACCTGCTACACCTACAACGCCATGGCCTACGTCTTCTCCCGTGCCCGTCGAGCGGCTCAGCTAAAAGGCCTGGCGGCGGAGGTGCTTAAAGAGCGGTGCCCGATGACCCCTGGCGGTTTGGGGTTTCTAATTCGGTGCCTTGGTGATCAGGGTTTGGTCGAGGACGCCATTCTTGTTTTCGACCGTGCTGTCGATCTTCACTGCATCCCTAACTCTTACACTTACAATTGCTTGCTTGAGGTGTTGGCTAAAGCTGGTTTGGTGGAAGCAGCGGAATCGAGGTTTAAAGAGATGGTGAACAGCCGGGGTTTGGAGCCTGACAAGTATACACTTACCTCGATGTTGCAGTCGTACTGCAACGTGGGGAAGCTGGCAGATGTCTGGGACATCTTTGAGAGGATAAAGTCGGAAGGCTGGGTTGATGAACACGTTCTCACAGTCCTCATTGTTACATTTTGCAAGTGGGGAAAGGTCAACCAAGTATGTGAATTGGTTGATCATATGGAAGGCCTGCGGATGATGCCGACCGAGAAGACCTTCAGCGTATTGGTTCATGGACTTGTGAGACAAGGGAGACTGGATAAGGCGCTCGAGATGTTTGATAAGATGAAGCGCCTGGGTTATAGTGGGGATCTTGCACTGTACAGTGTGATAATTGAGGGGCTTTTTGAGGGGAAAGAGTTTGGCATGGCTCATGACATGTATATGGAGATGAAGAAGATTGGCATCTCACCAGATGTTCTATTACTCAAAAAGATGATCATGGCATTTTGTAGAGAAAGGGACCTTTTCAGTGCAAGTCAGTTATTGGATGAAGGTGTAGGGTTAAATTTGGGTAGTTTAATCTCTCTTTATAATGTTGTTCTTGATGGGCTCATTGAACATGGTGAGGTATACAGAGCTTATAAGCTACTCTGTGAAATGATGAAATCTAAAGGTTTGCAAGTCCTAAAGTTGGATATCGATGATCATGGCAGATGTGAAAATGAAACTGATGTGGAGGAATTCTTCAGAATGAAGAAACCTGTTTGCCCAAATGCTGATTCTTTTAATATCGTGGTCTGTGGTTTATGTGAAGCAAAGAAGCTGGATGCAGCCTTAGTTCTTTTAAACAATATGATAGGAGTCGGTTACAAGGGTAAACTTTTGATGTATAATAATCTTATACATGAGCTGTGTAATGTGGATAGATTGGAGGAAAGCTATGAACTTTTGAGAAAAATGGAGGAGTATGGGTTTATGCCCACAGGATTTACATATAACTCAATTTTTTATTGTACTTGTAGAAGAGGGGATTTATCAGCCGCACTTGATTTACTTAAGGAGATGCGAAAACACGGGCATTTACCATGGATAAAACATTGTACATTGATGGTGCAGCAACTTTGTGGAAATGGAAAAGTAGCAGAAGCAGCAGCATTTTTGGATGATATGGTTGCACTAGGGTTTCTTCCTGATATGGTTGCTTATTCTGCAGCTATTGATGGATTGTGCAAATCAGGAGATGTTGACAAAGCACTAAAACTCTTCCGTGATATATCATCACGTTGGTATCTTCCTGATGTGGTTGCACATAATATTCTTATTAATGGATTTTGCAAAACTGGTAGATTGCCTGAGGCTCTGGAGATATTTGAAGAGATGTTAAAGAAGGAGCTTGTTCCTTCTCCTGTCACATACAACCTTCTAGTTGATGGTTGGTGCAAGGCGAAGAACATTGACAATGCACTTGCTTGCTTTAAGAAAATGGTTGATTCAGACAGGCCACCCACAGTAGTTACTTACACAAGCATAATAGATGGCTTATGTGATGCAGGAAGATCAGATGATGCACTTATGGTGTACAATGAAATGAGAGAAAAGGGATGTGCTCCAAATCAGATAACTTACACTGCTCTTATACATGGCCTTTGCAAGTGTGGTAGGGCAGATGTTGCTCTGGTCTACTTCGACAAGATGAAACAGAAGGAATTTGAGCTTGATACTTTTGTATACTTGTTGCTGATTAATTCGTTAATTATGAAAGGGAATTCGGTTAAGGCTCTTGAGCTTTTGAAGGGAGTCCTTCAGAGGGATAGCTTTCATTATAATTCTAAGAACTCTATATTGATGAAGAAAGCAGTAGGCAAGTTGTTCGCGGATGAATCTACTTCATCGGATGTTAGATTACTTATCGAGAGTGGACATATATCATCCATCCAAAGTCTCCACGACATGGGGCAGATGTAGAACATAACATTAGCATCAACTTGGCAACAGATTTCCATGTATGACAGGCATAGGATACTTTGATTAATATGGCCCAGAGTCGAGACTAGCTCCCAGGACATATGCGCAATGTCAACTGGAATGTGTTCTTTCAGATGGAATAACCAAGGGTGTTCTGTCTGAAAACAGGTGCTGTGGTCTACACTTTTCGTTTTCCTCTGCTGTTCGTGATACAGTTTTTGATTTTTTTTCTATTTACATGTGGCATAGATTTTGAACATTATTTAATCTTCAATCTTATCAGTGCCAAATTCAAGTGCATGGCGTAGGAGTGAGTATCTGTTCGTCTCATAGAGAATCTCAATAAGTCAAATTTCCTGTGAACTACTGGTTAATATTTGTAACATTTCATCTTTTTTTCTCAGCCTAATAAATTTTGTGATTCTTTACGATGAAATCTTCTTCATTTGTTTTTTTCCAAAGAAAACCTGTCCAGCTCCACTGACAAAATAACACTCCCTTAATGATTTAGAAAATTGTTTCTCACTCACTAACACTTCTTTGTATCTTTTCCATTGATAATGTGTAACACTAGATGTTTTATATATTAAGGAGATCCTGAGTCCAGACTTCTATAGAGTTTCTCATGTTTGTGCAAGGTAATCAAATACTTTTGGATGTGTTGAAATCAATCTGATGTAGGCAATACATTAGTGTGTCAATTTCTAAATTATGGTTTATGACAGAAAACAAATTGTATTGTCCTGTGAGATGGAATTTTTATTTTTTTAACTATTTCTAGTGTGTCATCAAATATGTAAACTGTAAAAGCATCCATGAAATATTGCTTTGAGATAGAAGTTTAATAATAAGCTGTTTCTCAGGTACAACATGCTCACCATCTCTGGTCCTATAAGAAGGGTGTATAATGTCATTAATCTGCATCCAATGGTAGAAGGTATATCTACTACACTTCCATTAAATCTACTTTTATTTCGATGTTAATTAGAAATTGGACACTCACTGTGTTGACATGATTATTATGGCAAATGATTATCTTTGTTTGTGCTCATGGGGTCTAACCCACTTGTTTCATCTGGCCCCAACAAATTAAGATATTGCAATTCAGACTCTGACAGCAATGGATAGTAGCTCTGTTTTCTGGTATGTTCTTGGATTGATTATTCCAATTTGTGACAATACAAATCTCGACCTTTATTCTCTTTTTCTTTTAACAGTCAGCATATCATTAACAAGCTGTCGGGACTGCTGGTACACCAACAAGGCGAGTCACCACTTATGCTCATGAGCCCATAGTGCAGCTTGACACCCAAGTGCAGACCTTCTCATCCTAATTTGGTTTTACTAAACTCAGCACTCTTTCTTAATGTTTCATTTGGAGAAATTATAGGGTTATGTGAATAAACTTATCTTAGATGCATCTTACTACCTGTAATTGACTATTTGGTTGCATAGAGATGTTTATATTAATCAAGACTGATTGGAGCAGATATAAGCATTGATGTACCCGTTCCTAGCATGTTACATTGTTGGAAATGATTCGGTGAAAATGAATTATCAATCCTATCGTTATCTTCTTTGCTTTAGCTCAACTCGAATGGCATTTATGGTAGCTTTACTTTTCTTATATACATCCAATCAGTCATTTAAACTTTTAGTTGTTTAATTATCATCTATCAATTTAACATTATATAAACTGATATTTTTATATTTCCGGCCTGGAAAGACGCCTATATGGTCTTCCCTATGGAATGCAAGGATGAGTCCTCTGGCTTCTTAATTTGAGACTAATATGGATGGTCTTTGCTATTAACATGATATCTCATTTCATTGTGGTTCCAATTGAATTATTTGCTTAGTTGCTAGCCTATTAGTCATTCAAGTTGAAACCAGCTTACCATTGGAAAATGCTTCTAATATCTGTCATTGAAATGCATAAGGCCTTCATTGAGATCCAAATCCTTCTATAGTTTCAGTTTGGTGGTGTTCAAGGGATCACGATTACCTCATGCCAGCCCTGACTTATATCTCTTCTTATGGTCCAAGTTAGAGTATACAGTGGGCCAGATTGCCTCAAATTAACATGAACAAAAATAATAACAATATGTATTAGAGCCAAATGGTTCAAGTTGGCTGAAGCTTGCCAGGTTAAGCTTTCGGAATAAATAATAACCCAACTAAAATCATGTTCTTTTCTTTTGTTTTACTTGGTATTTGATACAAATATCTGTATAATCCAACTAAAATTTTGTCATAAATAAAGGTTAAAGATAAATGTACCACTGCTTATTCAATTGTCTTTAGGTATTTATGCAAGATTTATTGTTAATATGCCAGATCTAATCTACAACTGTTGTGGGTTTAAAACATTATCTGATAAATTTTTATACTTAAAAGGCTAGGCTTATTGCATAGATCTCAACTCTTAGCAGCTAGATCCTAGGATCAAGTCCCATCTGTTTATAATATATATGTCTTATAAATGATGAATAAAAACAAAGGTTAAGGAGAAATAATTCACAGCACCACAATCATCATGAGTTCAGGATGTTCATTTAAAGCTTTTGAATACAAGATTTACTAAAATGAAATTGCCTATGATGATGAATAACAGTAACATGCAAAAAAAAAATCATCAAAAGGGTTGAAGTTAAGATTTTTCTCCATTAAAAGGTCGATAAGCATCCGTTAGTCACATGGGCAATAAACCCGGGCCCATTTAGAACCGGCCCATGCCACCTCTCCCGGTGCTCGGAACAAATCTCATTGCTCTCTTAACTACCTCATCATCCAACCCGCCTCTTGAACCGTTTGAGCTAATCCTCGAGAAGTCCCCAACAAACGCTCTCTCCCTCTCTCGCTGCTCATCTCTCTTCCTCTCCCGCTACCTTTTTCGATTAGGGTTCCGATCCCATTTTCTTCTCGTCGGGATCTTCTTGGCTTTGTTGCCGAGATGACGGTCGAAGATGACTCCGCGTCGCGGCCGTGGTTCGCGGCGTGTCGGGGGAGTCGGAAACGGAAGAGAAGCACTGACGCGGTGCTGCAGCAGCGGCAGGCAAGTCCGGTTGTTCCGCCTTCCTCTGATATCGAAGAGTATTACTCCCGCGCGTACTCGCAGATCAAGGTCTGGCCTCCGCCTCCTCGCTCCTCCCACTCCCTCTTTTCTTCCTCGAAGGGGAATAATTTTTATCAACAAGAAGCTGGAAGAGAACACGCATTTTTATTAATTAGTCTTTTTCTCCATATTGTGCATGATCTTTTTATAGTAGTCCATTAATGATTTTCTCCTGGGTTGTTCCTGGTGGAATCTCCCAGTATTTGGTTGTTTTGGGGTCTATTATCACAATTTGTGTGCGCGTTGCACTAGAAGCAATCGCCACGAGCCTTTTTTATGATATCATCCTCTTTCCTGATTCAAACAATTTAATCGTGTGTTTGGAGTGTAATTTTTCTACAGGAAGAAATCTACCATTCTTTTCTCAACTGCCAAGGTTCTCTTGATCTGGTCTCGAGTCTTCTTGTCTGATCTTGTTTAAAATCTTGAAACCAATTTGGACATGTTGAAAACAGACACAAATATATGATCCGTTTTTGCTTCCATTTTTCTTGGGTACTTCCAGAAAGAATTCTATTGAAGTTAAATACTAAATCTTTAGTAGTTTACCGTAATATGTACGGAATAGGAAAACGGTAGATTCATCTAATAGACATTGTTCTTTCAATTTATTATTCATGACATAATAAACATCTTTTGTGGTAGCTTCTCCACTCCTTAGTTCCTTGAAGCTATGAGAACTATATTCTTCACAAACCACATGCTAGAGGCAGCTACCTGTGGAGAAATTAGATTGCTGTGGTTGCCTGAACATGTTCAAACTTATACTGAACCATTGATACGACAATCATGAGATGTTAATGTCACTTGAACGACAAGTGCCTGAGCTGGAAGTATGTGTCGATTGTGTTGATTTATTTGTTAACACTTCTGTAATTTTAGCTCAGAGTCCTATTATCAATTCAAAACCTACCAATTATGTAGAAATTTGCTAGAACATGAGTCCTATTATCAATTCAAACCCTACCAATTATGTCGAAGATTTGCCAGACCATGAGTCCTATTATCAATTCAAACCTTACCAACTATGTAGAAATTTGCCAGACCATGTCTATTTGTGTTCCAATTTAGCTAAATGATTGGTCTTGTTTGTTGTATAAATTTGAAATGTATCATAGAACATGGGTTACCTTTGTTTATTTTCTATGAAGTCTTTGGATCCTATAATGGATTATTATAATCAAGAATTTCTTTGTCTTTAACTTGATATCAACCTTTATTTTCTTTTGAATTTCTAGTCCCCTAAATTTTGGATAATGGCTTTTCTTAAGTGAAATGTAATTTGGAATTACGTAAAATGAGTAGCGTTTCCTTACAAGATAACAATTTCTTCCCAGGTAAGCAAAGGCTAACACTTGTTTCTGGCGATTAAATTTTAACATCAATAAAAGAAAAGTTTAAATACTACAATAAGATCCTGTGCTTATGTTTTGAAGTCTTATCCATAATTCTTTTAATCTGTTAGCTTCTATGTTCATCTTGGTTTAATGCAATTAAACCCATTTAAGCTCCCTTTTGCCTCACTGAAAAAGTTTAAAATATTCAACATGGACCTAGCACAATTTTGTTATTTTTGTTGTCATTTTGCTTAATTGTCGGTGTTATCTGCCTGACTGATCAAACTTCAGGTTTCTTTGTGGATTTTTGTATGCTTTTCTTTGACGAATTTGCAAAAATGATCACGATAATTGCTATTTACTCTTGCATATTTTTTATGTTTCATTTTTTCCCTCCTAAAGAGGGAATATTCTGTATTCCTTTACCTTTTATCTCTTGATGATGTGAATAGTTTTCCTTGGCACTGAACCCTGTTGATGTTTAATTCCCATGGTGTCCTAAGTTGTCTTATTTCTGTTATTTGATGAAAGCTGTCAAATTTACATGGTAGTCCTTAATGTAAGTGATTAGTACTTGAGCATGCCAAATGAAATTTGGAGGTATATAACATGATAGTTTATAATACATATTTCTCATGTTGTTTCTGTGCAAGTAGTCAGACTTGACTTCTGACAATCATCATGCTCTTTTGGGACAAATCTTTATAATTCTTTGATAATCTACAGGATCATGCGCGTATGGAAGCGTACAGAGATGGTATCTTGAGGCATCAACCTTTAATTTCTGGAAAGGTAATTTGTTGCCTTTGACTAAGTATACAAAAAATCATCCTCAATGTGTATTTTGAATATGATTTTTGCTTAACAATTGCCACTATTTGTAGGTTGTTTTAAATATTGGTTGTGGTACCGGAATTCTTGCCATCTTTTGTGCTCTTGCTGGTGCTACACGGGTAATTGCATCTCATATTTTATTTGTCTTCTAACTTTCTGTTGATTTACTTCAGATGCATTGTGTATTATTTTGTCCCTTTTTATTGTGTTAATTATTCAAGTGTACAACTTATGCCCTTGTATGTTATGTAACTAGCATTTGTGCTGCTTCTTTGTGGCAAGTTGCCTTACCAAGTATCATAGTATGGATAATTAATCAAGTTTCTGCTTACAATATTAACATCAGAATCAGTGATTATATATCTTGTCTATCCCAAGGTTAATTATACTGTGAGTTTATGTTGATATTATGGCATTCTACTTGCTTTTCAATATGACTACTTGTTGGCAAACAACACAAAATTGACAATGCAGATTGCATGCAGATTTAATTAGATACACCAGGATAAACTTGTGGGTGTAACAATGGAAGTTCATGATTGTGCACCAGTAGCGTATTGGTCAGGGCTTCAATCACTGTAGTACCAGTGTACCAAGTGTCAATATGCTGATAGGTACTGAGTCTTGCGAAACCCTGAAAATAGCTAAAAGAGCATTAAGAAAATTGCTTATACTGGGCATCCCGCTTGGTTTATCCTCGTCCACGTATCGGTAGACTATCGGACCAGCAAATACTGTCCATATTGAACTATATCAGGCACACAAACCTTGATAACACTTATTTGTTTCAAGCATCAGGGATATTTACCTTGCTTATTTTTCAAATATATGCCAGCTACATCCTTAATATGTTAAACTAACATGAACAAATATTATCCGACATATGTGCAGCTCTTTTGAACAACGTATGTTCTGACTCTTCTCAACATGAACAAATAAATTAACTCTGGAGTTTCTGTATTTTTAATAGACTATGCCAGTTATCTTTTGACAGTTTAATAGATTAGTAATTCCATCAAGATTTTAGGGTTCAGTTGATTTTAGTTACTTGATCAATCAGCAGATTACTTGAACTATTAATCAGATAAAGTTACATATCATTATTTTTTCCATCTTTTATACTCATCTTGCTTAGAGCAAGGGAGAATTTTTATGAGCATATAAGAAATGAAAGGATAATAGTCTAAGTTTTCCCCTTGTTTGTTTCAGATGAGTTTAGTCATAACTCATGAATTATGTAACAGAAATACAGTAATAAATTTTATTTTTCAAATGTTGAAAGTAGGTGGTTTGAGTTTGTTTGAAAGCAAAATAAGGTTGATTGTTGCTGGTATGGGAGTTCTGAAAGAAAATCTCTTAAGTTGTTTGTATTAAGGATTGCCGTTTTGGGTACCAAATCTGTTTTGGTGATCTGGTTGGACTGGTACATGCTGGTTAGAACCATGTGTGAATACATTGGTACATACTAGCATTTCAAAGAGGAAGAAGAAAAAGGAGAAGAAGGGTGGATGGAGGAAGAGAACGGAAGGAGAGAAAGTGGAGGAAGAAGGAAGAAGAGGAAGTGATAGAGGAGGAAGAAGAAAGAAAAGGAGAGAAGAGGTGAGAGCAAGGTTTTTAATTTCGAATGATACCATCCGGTATCCGTCGATTGGGGCTGTTTCCGCCCCGTTACCAATCGACCGTCACCACCTGCTACCGGCCGATATTAGCCGAGGGAGAAGGAAGAAGAGGGAGAAGAAAAGGGAGAATCTGGAGATTTGGCGACCGTCGCCACCCGCTACCGGGCAGTATTAGCCAAGGGAGAAGGAAGAAGAGAGAGAAGAAAAGGGAGAATCTGGAGATCCGACGTCCCTCTCCCGTGACAATCCTGATCCGTTGCCACCCTCCCTCGCCGGATGTCGTAGATGAGATGTCGCCTCCTCGTCTGAGACGATGAGGCCTCGATGTTGTCAGCGACTTCTCCTAATCCACGCGGGGAGAAAAAGCCTCGACGTGGGGAGAAGAAACCTCGACGACGTCGCCGAGGCTTCATGGGGAGACCTCGGCATCATCGGCAACTTCTCCTAATCCGCGTGGGGAGAAGAAGCCTTGGCGTGGGGAGAAGAAACCTCAACGACATTGCCCTTTTTTTATTTTTAACTTTTTATTTTATATACGTACTGCTCGGTATATACACACATAAACACACCGAGCAGTTACACTAGAACATACTGCTTGGTATACTCGTACTATATTGTACCGAGCTGAGCTCGATACTAAGGTGCGGTACGAAATTACGAACCTTGGGTGAGAGTGTACTTAGGGAGATAGAAATAGACAAATGATAGTAGCTGCAACCTTAAACAACAACTATAGCAGTGGCGGCAACAACAACATTGGCAATAGTGTTGTGAGAAGATGACAGCAGCGAGAAGAATTACACTACGTCGAATGACAGCGGTGACGGCAGCAGCATCGCGACAAGATGGTAGCAACGAGAAGAAGGCCCATGCGATGTCGAATGATAGCAACGATGACAACAACGTTGTGAGAAGGTGGCAGCAGCAAGAAGAAGATTTGCAAAGCAGCAACGGTGGTAGCAGCATTGCAAGAAAAGGGCTCATGTCTGTGAGCCCTAGTTGCTATTTTAGGGTTTTTTTTTTTCTTTTTAATGCTGAGTTGGATGGGTCCCATCGCTATTTTATGTTTTTTTTTTATTTTTTTCTTGAGTTGGACCAGACCACCCCAAACGAGGTGGTCCGCCTACTGGCCCACACCCGGATCAACACATACACTAGTCTTATACCATTTCGAGTAGTACGATAGTCCTTGGTTTTTATGTTTTTCTTAATTACAGAAAGTAGGTGCATCACTTGAGTGCTACACCATCAACCAGCATAGGCGTTGATATTTGATGCTCTTGGGCAAGCAATGAAGAGTGCTGAAATATTTTGCGAGAACATATAATTTTTAGAGAAGTGTAGCTTCCATGACAAGAGAATTTGAGCCGTAAGGTATTGAGCACTCTTAGTTCTTTCAACCAAGACTCGTAGTTTCAGTTATCGGACGTGTGTCGGTCCATGGTTGGATCGATATGGGTCTAGTGGCGGTGAGTTCTGGTATCCCATGTGGTGGTAACATGAACCATTGGGGGAGAGAGAGCAGCAGAGGAAGAAGGAAGAGGAAGCATAGCAAGAAGGAAGAAGTGGAAGAAAAAGACGGAAAGAGAGAGAAAGAAGAGGAGGAAGAAGGAAGAAGAGGAGGGTGGGTAGCATGTGGCAGTGTGGGCCTCCTTGCAAATGTGAGGTGTCAGATGCCTCGGACCTAGGGGAATAAAGATTAGAATAAATAATATATAATACCAAAACCGGATCGAACCATTCGGTTTGGGTTGGTGCCTGTATCAGTCAGCGGTCGGACTCGTAAATATCGGTTGAATAATGTCAAACAGAGCGGTTTACCCAACCTTGCTTTTACAATATCATGAACATGTACATGTCACAGAGGATATGATAATAAAGCAACAGAAGTTAATTACAGATCTGTTACAAACTGAGGCTTCACTTTTTTTTATTATAACTAAAAATTTTGTTGTTCATTGGCTTACTTAAAACTTAAGCTGTCTGCAATAGTCTTCATGATAACCGCACACAAAACAAGGAAAGAAAAAAGGAACCCTTAATTTGCTGTTTATGATTGCAATAATACCTGATTTTGTTATTAGACAGGACTTTTCTAATGCAAAATACCTTGATGCCTTGATATGCTCCCATTTTGATGTCTACTAGTGATGTTTAAAGGTTTTAAGTTATTATTAAATAGCAAGAGGAAAAAATTCACTTTATTAGAGTTACTCAACAACTTATGAAGTAACTTTCTTAATGTTGTTTGCATTGGCTTTGAATTGCAACATTGGTGTTTCTTCAATTTTTCCTTTCTTTCATGCCATCCCTGGAGAATAACGATTTACCTGAATAGTTCATAGTTATGTTAAATATATTGTATAAACAAGTCTTATATGCTTTCAGGTGTATGCAATTGATGAAAGTGCTCTAGCAGTGCGGGTAATTTCACTTTTTATGTTCTGATCATTTCCTTTCCAGAGAGATGATGAAGAAAGTTGGAAGAAAGTTTGACCTAATGTTACTTAACAATGTTTTTCCTTTATACCCTTTATTGTGACTACCGTCAAGATATGATTTGTTTAATGGACTAACTATCAATAATGGTTTTATTATTGCTTGAATTTTTAAACCATTTAGGGAATTTTGATTGGCTAAAATGAATAACAATATAAACAATTTGTTTCATGTAAAATTTTCAGGAATTTTCCTTTGTTAAAAGCTGTAGATGGATATTTTGAATTTGGAACCATTTTTACCTTTGGTGACAGTGGATCATTAAAAACTGAAGTTAATTAAAGTGAATTATACTCAGAAATACCTCTTGACAATGGACAGTTACATATTGCTACATTTGTTCTATTGAATTATTGTTGACTTGTGATCAATTGGCTACTAAAGCTATCATCGACTACAACTGCTATCAATCATTAATTAGTTGGTTATCAATCCAACAACTGCCACTAATTGATTGTTGGCCCATATGAATTAAGGACACCAACTTCGTTGATGATTAATCAACGATTGACATTGACCGTTGTTGATTTAATTTTCATTTTTTGTTCATGTTGCTAAGTTGGCATTATTACCTAAGGAGACTTGCTTTGTTGATATATTCACAACAATGTTTCCCTGTCAATGGGCAAGCAAGCCAGTGTTGATAGGTCGATTTTTGACATGGATTAGGTGTCATTTAACATGCTGACTAATGGTTACACACTTATTATGGTAGAGACACTACTTTTAGTGTTTGGAAGTTTATATGAAATGATTCCTCATCTGTAGAAGAGTTGTTTTCTCAGTGATCGAGGAGATCCTATGTATATATACATCCTATGAGATGATTTGATTCTATGTGATGTTGCATTGATTTTAATTTTCTAATTCCAGCATACATGACTTCCCATGGACCAGGTTCATATTGACGTTTGATTTGGATGAATGTCTCTGTCTATTGATTGTTTTAATTGATAATGTTCTAAGCTATTTGCATGTCACATGATACACTTTCTTAATTACATGGTTTATGAAGATAACCTCTGTTGAGCTGAAAATGCCCACTTCAAATTGCATTATTTTTTGGGTAGTTTACCTACAAAAGTCCCCACTAATTTGTTTTTACTGTATCTCTTTTTTTGTAAATACCAATTTCACCTACCTATTCCAATGAATTTTATTTTTAAAATTCTCTGAACCTGTTCATAACCAGTTCGGATCAGTGAACTGGTTTAGTCAACCTTCGCATTGCTCCTCCTCCTTTGTCTCTTCTTCCTCCTCCCTTCTCTCCTCTTATTATTACAAGGACAAGGTATAGTTATCCATTATGAAAAAATGAGTGTTCCTTAGTAAAATCTCAACAGAGGAGCGTCATCTGATGAAAACCATTTAGTGGGGGATTTTCTAGGTAAATTGCCCCCTTTTTTTTTTCCTGATCAGTAGTGCTAGGGAATTAGCTAATGGGAGAAAGTGCAAGTTCTATTCCAGAGGTGGATATTGGCTAGCAGTAGTTTTTACTTTTTAGTATATATTTAATAATTGGATTATTTCATTCTAATTATAGTTATTTTTTAGTTTATTGGCTGTCCAAAGGCCATCTTTGTGAATGTAATTTTGATTATTGAGAAATTGATGTAATTGGTATTTGTGATAATGCTCTATGTTAATGAAATTTAAATATTGGGTTTATTATACTAAATGTGTCATATTGGAGTGACACAGGATGCTGATAGTTATAGAGCAGTGATTCAAGGATTGTTTATCTTTTAGTATATGTTATACTATTTAACATGGACTATCATGTCGTGCCGACCTATGGACCGGTATGTATTGGTTAGTATTGGCAGTACCATATGTCGGTATTGATGGTACATACCAGTTTTCATTAAAAAAGGACAGAAAATAACCATATATTAAAAAGCCCCTATCATGTGTTTATATGAGACATAAAGGAATAGAAATTCTAGGATATAAGGATGAAAAAGTGAATTTATCTTTTTTGATCCATCAAGGAGAGTGAGAATGAGAGTTGCATGAAGTTGTACTAATTTACTTAACTAAATGTATCCTAATATTCTCGTTGATTAGGAAATTTAATGAAGTTAAAATGAAAATGAGAGTTAGTGAGTGTGAGTGAAAGAGGGAGGAGACTAATTTAAAGGGGTTGAATCGGTACAATCAAAATCCAACGGTTACCTTTCGTTTGTATCGCTCGGTACGCTCCCCTTTATGCATTCTGTTCAAAATGAAACAGTGCATGTATGGATCAGCAGGTGGACCAGTGCAAACCACCCATTTTGTATCAAATTTGAATGGTACGACAAACAATGCGATTTAAGTTGTTAGTAATATTGTTATTACTTGTTACCATCGGAGTATCTTTTTTATATTGACTTCAAGAAAGTTCTGTGGCAAGAAAAATGTTCATGTAGCTGAACCCTGTAGTGCTTGAACTCGGCATGTTACCACGATGTATCCATGCTGATGCATCAATTTTAGAACAGTGAGAGAGATTAGTGATCATGGCCGATAGAGAAGAACAGTGAGTTGGGAAGTCTTTGTGATGTGCCATCCTTTCCAAAAGAATTTCTAAACCAAAACATAGAGAAATGTTCACCAATCACTAATTTCAGTAAAGACAACTATAGGAGAGGAGAAAAGAGGAGAAAAAGAATTCAGAGAGAAAGTGAAGAAAAGAAAAGAATTTTAGAAATAATTTTTTTGAAATTAGTTAAATATAAGTTATTAATCCATTTAAAATAGTTAAATTTGGTTAAAATACATTAAATTAAAATAAATATATAATTATTTAGGTTATATCATTGTTAAATATTCTAAATATATTTAAATATCTTAATTTGGATTGGATCCCAATACCTCTATCTTAAACTTGGACTCTCTTAAGTCATATGCCCTATCTTAAACCAGAATTGGTCACCATGTTAAACACTTGGATTCATGTCACACCTAACATTTTGTGCTAGATTTGCAGCAATATAGGTCCATTTAAATAGTTCAAAGTTTCCAACAACCAAAGTATTTTAATTGGTGTTTCTATGCTGTTTTGTGTGTAAATAAGTGTTCCTTGTAGATTGTCCATTTTTATTTTACTTTGACTTATCTCCTGTTGTTTGAATTTGGTTTCTTTTTGCAACTCAGTCTAAATCTTTAATGCTTATCATGTAGTGAGTTTTTGTTTAACAGTAAGAAGGGTTTGCATAATACCTAAGCAGGTTGGTGAAGTTGTCAAAGAAAACAATTTATCTGACAGGATGACTGTTCTACTTGGACGAGTCGAGGTACACCTCTACTTTTTCATAATTTGACTGTGTTACTTTTTTTTGTCATGTCATTGATTCTTTATTCTTGCATGATTTTGCATCATTTTCTAGTGGCATATGTTCCAAAATCTGTGTTTGATACTAATATTTTTATCTGAACACTGAAATAGTTATTGAGATGTGTAAAAGTGCAATATAATTTCCAAGTACATGGCTGTGGTACATCACAGCTTCAGATTCTTTTGAAAATTTGATTAGACCATGTCAGTAGACATAAATGATAAAAACAACTACAGCAACAAAATCTCCATTTAATACCAATGCTGGTTATTGTTTGGACTGGTACAATTTTGATATCAATTGGACCAGCCGGTATCAGTGATGGACCAGTCCAATCAATTCTTTGTTACTGTTTGATTATGCTTTTTCATATATTTTTAAGATGTAATATGAATGATATACTACAAAAACATAAGTAAAACTTCAAAAACACAGAAGTCATAATAAATAGCATATGCATCATAATAAAATAAGGTTGATGACATATCAATATGTCATAATTTATCAAGTAGGGACACTTACCTGTACAAAAATGAATATTGTTTTGCCTTAGGAGATGGTTGAGGCTAAATGTCAAGATTATTATTCTCTAGAAACCACTAATGACGTTGCTCTCAAGACATTTAGTATTGACTTTCGGTATGCTGCTTGTGGATCAAACTAGCAATATTCGAGGCACATTGCTCATTAAGTGGATAGTTGGTTGCTATAGGCACCATGGTATGGTGGGGCTCCAGATGTGCAACCAGTACAGCTGTATGTATGGTTGGATTGGGCACGACAATGATAGCTTTGAAACACTGGAGCTGTCATCACTTTTTTGTTGTGGGCAACACAAAATCATATTCCAGCCAATAAAATCCATGCTGGTAGGATGGTGGAGGCCATGAGGAACTCTTGTCGAATTCAGTCTGAGCTAAGCTCTCTCATTTCCTCCAAACCATCAACTACCTTAACCTTGTCCTTTACTATTATAGTTTTTATTGGATCCAGATTCATGATCCTCATCTTGAATGGCATGAGTAAATATCAATTATGTCCACTGTCCACCCCTTTGTATCGCAAAATCATAAGATTCTTGATACAGAACCATAGTTGATTAACATAGTTTCGTAACTTTGGAATCTCATGGTGAGTTAAACAGAGTCCCACCATCTACCTTGGGTTGTTGCTCATTGATGACATCTAATAGGTCAAATTTGTGTTGAACAACCTCTGGCCTCATCGTTTTCCATGGATGCTGGGGCTGACTCCTTATACTCCAACATCTGACATTCAATTGAGTCACTAAGCTGTTTTTGTTTTTCTCCTATTTGTATATTTGCGGTTTTTTCCTTTTTTTGGCTGCTATTACATATTGATTTGCAACAATTCATTTTGATGCAGGATGTCAGCATTGATGAGAAGGTTGATGTCATAATATCTGATTGGATGGGTGATATGCTTCTACATAAGGTGCTTATGGTTATTTCTTTGTTATTTTTTACATGGTCTTTGCTGTTAAGTTTAAATCAAACTATGAAACCCAAATTGTCAGTGTGGTACTTACATTTTGTGCTGCATTATTCAAGATTGGATTGCTTTTTTGGCTTACATCATATTGCTGGCTGATAAATTTAATTTCTTGGATTCAGAGTATGTTGCCTAGTATCATTTTTGCCAGGGATAAATGGCTCAAACCAGGAGGGTTTATTTTTCCTTCACATGCTTCGGTAAAATTTCATTCTACTTACAGCTTTTTGTTGAGTTTCTATATCAATTTTTGGAATCTTCAGGTACTCAGAAGAAAGCATGTTTTTGAATGTTTTGTTCATTGTTATTCAATTCATCTTTCATCTTAAGCAAGTATTCTTTATTACGTAAATGGCTTGCACCTATTGTATATTTTAAGTAGATTTTAGCATTATATCTGAGTTCTACTTCACAACTTAGATCTATTGCCAATCTGTTTGGGATTATTTTACTTATGTTGGATTTCTGTTGACATTTGGAATAACAACCACATTAATGGTTCGTAACTAGGTCAAAGTTTCTCATGTTCCACATACCTTGAGTATTAGAGCTTCAATAAGTTATATGCTACAACTTGGAACTTGGTAGGTACTAGGTACTAGGTAGTATGTAATACATTTGTTATGTATTCTTAGATCCATTTGATACAAAACATTCACTGATAACAATCCAGAAAATAATGCAAAAAGTATGCCGATTTTCATTTCTGATGGTCATCTATGTTCTGTTTGCTATTTATGATAGATATCTGTTCTACCATCATCTTCAATTTTAAAGGTTGGCACGCAATGGCCTGTAAAGCTTTTTTACCTTCTTGATGATTTCTTCTGTCAGTTACAAACAACCAAAAAACTGAACAGATTACAAAAAGAAATAATTTTAGTTAAAACAAGCCAACAAATCTGTCATTTATAATACACTTTAAAGTGTATTATATGTAGTGTCATCGTTATTTCTTCAGTTTAACTTTAAATCATATCTTCTCAGCTCAAGTGAATTAAAATGTCCTAGAAGAAACTCACCCTGCTCATTCATGGCAATTATGGATCATAAGGAACTTAATTTGTCAGCAACAAATTACTCCTTGTAGGTCATGAAAGAGTATATAGCTGAAAAGTGAATTTTGTATTCTGTATGTACAGCTACTAAGTTCGGTGTTACAAAATTCTTGTACCATTCAATTAGATGGATGCATGATGCCTAATTTTGGGATCGATATCAGATCAACTATGGACAATACAACTAAGAGGAATGGCTATTCCATAATCCACGTGATTGCTCTCTGATCTATTTATCTTGTTTATACTTAAATAGAACATATTAGTATTACTTGAAAATAATTATTCCACCTATAATCCCTGAAGTGATGGGTTCTTTTTGAAATGCATAGGATCAAATAGATACACAACGGCAAGAGTACTTTGCTCGGTCGAGACTACACTATGAGACAAAAGCTAAGGTAGCAAATGGCATTAGATACCCCAATGGTCGTAGTCGTAAACAATGGATACTAGGCACTGTACGTATCAACTTTGGCTGAATCAGATCAATAATATCTAAATGGACCAAATAAATTAATCTTAATATAAAATATATAAACCTTAATAACAAAAAAATTAGTAAATATAAAATAAAATATGAGAAAAATGAAACTATTAAATGTTAATGATTCTTATAGCTTCATATTTCATAAAATATTGAACTTTCTAAATAGCATGAATGCAAAATATACATGATAAAAAAAAATAAAAGATAATGGAGTGTATTTCATTGATATGTTTATTAGAACTCTTGTTTTATGTACCAAATCCATTTTGGTGATCTGATCGAACCAGTATACATCGGTCGATATTGGTGAACTAGCATATGGTACATTAGTACATACTGATATTTCAAAAATGAAGGAGAAGAGAAAGGCATAGTGGAGGAAGGAGGAAGAGAAAGAAAGAGGAAGGAAGAAGATGAGACGGTGTAGAAAGAGGAGGAAGAAGGAAGAAGAGGAAGTGGTAGAGAAGGAAGAAGGAAGAAGAAGAGGAGGGTAGAGGGCAGTGGCATCGTGAGAAGAGGGCAGCAATAGCGTCGCAAGATGAGGATAGTGACGAGAACTCTCATCGCTGTTTTAGCCTTTTAGGTTTTTCTTAATATTGAATTGGAGGTGGTCCACTTACTTATCTACACTTAGATGGGTACAGACCAAGGTTCGCAATACCGTACCGTACCGGAGTTTCGACCTGGGCTCGGTACCGGTATGGTACGGTATACCGCTCGGTAGACCCAGGTGTACCGAGCGGTATATTCAGGCGTGCCAAGCACTGTAGCAGCACTACAGTGCTACAGTGCTGCTACAGTATCGGAACGGTAACATATGGTCCGCGTACCGGAAGTCTGGCGGACCGGTACGTACCGCCCGTACCGGGCGGTACGGATCGGTACTGCAAACCATGGTACAGACCATCTGTTTTGTATTGTTGGGGATAGTACAACAATCCATTGATATTTATGTTATAGAAAATACTTGGTAATTATTCACATGCAGCATTGATAATAGCAACGGAAGCCATTGCAATCCCAGTGGTTCTCTAATCACTGTGTGGATGAGTGTTAGGCAATGTGAAATATAAAATATAAATATATTCAAATAAAGAGTTTCTAATTTGAGATTAATCATGATTGTCATGATATCTTCCTTCTTGGTTATGATATACCTATTTCCTTAAGAGATGAGATATTTTTTTTCCTTCCTCTCCTGATATTTTTTTCTTCGTTTTACTCAAGGTATGCAGTACCGTACCGGTGTTTCGAGGTTGGCTCGGTATGGTACGGTACCGACGTACCAAGCGGTATACCAGAGGATACCGAACAGTACACCAGGGCTTACAGAGCGATTTCCTCTTACTGCAGCACTGTAGCACTGCTACAGTGTAGCACTGTAGCACTGTAGAACTACTACAATATATTACTGTAGCACGGTCCGTCCGGTAGCGGGCGGTCCACCTACCGATATGCCGTCGGACCGGTATGTACCGCCTGTACCGGGCGGTACCATTCGAAATTGCATACCATGGTTTTACTAGTAGTGGACAAACAATAACCGCAACTTGTTGCAACAGATAGTGAACACTACAGTAGTAATGTTTCTTATGTTATATAATCCAGTGTTTTAAAAAACGCTAGGTGCTAAAAGACGTCAAGGTCCCAAAATGCTTGAGACATTGGGCACATCACTCGACTATTATGTGAGGTGCTTGGGCCTCTCCTTGCCTCACCTGAGCGCCGAGTCGAGTGCTAAGAAATATGTATTTACATATTTCTTTTGCTTTGGCTTCCCTCTTCTTCTTCTTCCCTTTTGTTCCTCTCTTCTTTTCTTCTTCTAGCGGGACTCCAATTGACTTTGATTACTATGACCAAATATTTACTGTAGGATGGTGAAATCGGCCAAAATTGGATTCGTCTTCAATGAAATGATTTTGATTGGAATTAAGTGATACTGTAACTAGCATGTAATGAACATTCGTGAATCTGAATATATTTTTTCAACAGTAGAATCTTCTTTGATTGTCTTGGCTATTGGACTAGAGACCATATATTTATATTGAAGTTTACCAATTCATTTTGGTTCCTGAACACAGATTCGAATTGATCTTATTTAAAATTTTTAATTTATAACAATTGCCCTTCACAAGAACCTACTTTATTTATAGTTATTTTCTAAAGAAATAACAAGGCATCATCCCAAATATTTTCTGCCAGCAACATGAATCTTTTACCGCCATTAGGCAAGTTAAGGGCAGTATCACATTTTCAACAAGGGGCTGTTAATATCTTCCTATTGTTTGTAATGGTCCATTAGATCTTTTGCTGTGTCCCATACTATTAAGTTTATTGGACAAATTATTGTATTGCTATTTGCAAGCTTTGTTGCTGATATGTCCACATAAACAGTTGGATGACATGTAAAGATTATAAAGATTCTGAATATGTTACTTTGCATCCTGAAGTCGTCTCAGTTATTGGATCTTTTCCTGCCATTGAGCTATCTGAGGGCACTATTACTAGTTAAAAAATTGAGTCTTATTGTTTTCAATTGAGACGTCTCTCTCTTAGTTTCTTTAGTATCGCTTATCTAAATGACTTGTGCATTAATCAATACATTTATAGTTCTCTTTCCACAGGTCCATATTATCTGAAGCCGACATCTTCCAATTGTCTATCAAACTTATGATTCAAACATTTCTTCCATTTCTTTTTGATGAATTCAGACACCTGACAGCTCAACATATAGATTCAAAAAGTAAAACAAGTTTTGCAAATGCTTGTTATTTTTGATATAGAAGGAATATGGATCCTTCACATATAAGCAATATCTTCTCATCTCATAGCTGATGAATAACAAGCAAAGACATATGAAAGCTTTGGAGACTTTCTGTTACATTAAGTTTTCCTAATAGATTAATGCTTCCAGTATATGTTACTGGGAATCTCTATTTTAGACATCATTGTCGATGTTGTTATGACCTTTTCATACTTCATACATGTTAAGATCTATGCTATGTTTCTCACCTTGATGCTTTATAATCTTACCATGTAAGCTATACATTTATAATTTATAAATAGTATGTTGTCCAAACAAAATATATACAATTTATAGCACAATATATTGGAAGATGCGTCTCTTTGAACAATATCTCTATAAACAATATCTCTATAATTTTCAACTGCTATTAATTTTAATTTTCTGTCCTGTTTGTCCAACTGTGATCTTCTCAGTTATGTTGATTGATGTCAAATATAAGATGCAATGTACAAATATATTTGTTGATTCTGAGCAACATTAAATATCAAATTTACTGTCTCTTGGTGAAAGTCATTGCTGTTGAGATTATTGATATTCTTTATCATGCAGCTCTATATGGCACTGTTTACGGATGCTGATGGATACCATGAAAGCATTGATTTCTGGCATGATGTTTATGGGATCAATAGTAAGTTGTGTGACATCCATTGAACTGTCAAAAAAAAGTAGGAATGGCTTTAGGTAGAACAAATTGATTTGCTCATCCACATTAAAATTGATTATCAGGGGGACAGAAACAAATTGAAATAGAAAAGAACTGGGGCTTTCTTAATTGTGAGTGTACTACAACTCACTCTTGTTTTTTTCTTTCCAGTGTCTGCTGTGCTGCCACTTGCAAAAACGTCTGCTTTTGGAGACACATACACTGAGACAATTTCAAAAGCAAGTGTGTTGACATTGCCAATATTGGTAAGTCTAGGCTGTTGATTTGTTCTTCAAGCAAATTTGATAGTTCTACTAAACTCATCCAGGATCTCTTATTTGTTACTTTGTTATCTGTGGGAGAGAGCATGCTCATGAAAAAGTTAGCTTAAGATGAATACCAAAATATAACATGCACATGCATCGCCCAACCATGATATATATTTCTCAGAAAATAACAGTTATTTCATTAGCTCATCATCATAAGTAATAATTAAAATAGTGAAGACACCCCGGAAAGGTTGGAATCATTTTATTGCTAACCTAATGTCAGTTCTTGAAAGTTAGAGACTACTGTATTCAAGCTAAAGCACATTTAGGCAAGAATACTTTTGAAAAGGTCAAAAAGGTTAGTTGGCTGTTAGGTGGTGTATTTATCTGCTGGTTCCATATCAGCTATTGTACTAATATAGTTTATAGACCAAGGTTCTAAATATCATACCATACTAACGTACCGATTAGTTGTTGGTACGGTATGTACTGAGCATATTGACACATGGTACACTAAGGTGTACCAATGTACCACCCTTACCGGTCCTCTATCAGACTGGTATGTACTGTCCATACCGAGTGGTACGGTATGGTATTGCAAACCATGCTACAGACAACCACATTAAATTCACTTGAATATTGTTATAAAAAATAATGAAAAAATAAAACCTTGGAGGATTTTTATTATCAAGAAGCATATGAATATAATGATATAATGACTAAGTATAGAAATAAGTTTTTAAAAAAACCAGGAAACATGGTACATGTTTATCTCCTATTCTTTTCTTGTAACATTCTGAATATAATGACTAACAAGGTGTTGTTTTATGAGAAGTTATTGGTCCATGTAGTTAGTAATCTAACCTACTGAATCCATTACTGATTAAGAATAATTTTGGAATAAGTTGAAATGTAAATATGTTTCTATTTGATGCCTTTTTGGTAGTTCAATTATGTAACGTACTAGTGGAATCATTTGATAAAAGGGGTAGCCCAGTAAACGTTGCTTTTTGTTAACACAAGATCTGGGAAGGGCCTTACTCCTACAAGTAGTTTATATAAAATTGAAACCTTGAATCATTTTTGGAAGAAATTGTTTTTTATTAAATCGTAACATTTCTGGAAGTCATGGCCTGACAAGTTGTTGTAACTTGTAACTCAGACGTATCTACTGAGTATCAAGCAATGACAAAACTTGATTTGGTTGATAACACATTTCTAAAGTTGGCTGATCAATTGGATTTATTCTTACTAGTACTGAAGATGACTAGATTAAGGACTGACTAAATAAAGGTTTTCACATGAAATAGAGCTTCAATGCACTATTTTTTAAATGTGGTTTTATTTGAGCTTGCTATTGAATAGGAGATTTCTCCAGCCTTGCTCTGGTGTGACTGCATCTTCCTTATCTCTGAGCAATTGTTATCAATCTTAAGAAGTAAAGCCAACCTGTGTTTCTTTATTCACTGCTAAAACCAGAAAGAAGAACATTTACAAGGTGAAGTAGAAAGGTTAAGAAACTAGGAGAGGAAACATATCAATTAACGAGAGGATCCATGTGATGTATCAAAACTGAGTGCAAGCAAACCTATGATAATGAATACTATAGTAATGCAAAGCGACAGGAAACTAAACATTTTTCAAATTCTATGGTACGTACAATTGGTAAAAGGCAAGAATGAATTCTATGGTAAATGTTGATTTAAATTTCTTGTCCTTTAGGTACAGACTCTGTTTGCCCCACGAATTTTTTTGAATTTAGTGTTTACTTTTAACTTTATGGTTCTATTTATATATGCTGTCTCATTGCAAATAATTTTTTTTTAATGACCTGATAAACAGGTTAAACAAGTGGATTGCTACACTATTACGATTCAAGATTTTGAATCTGTAACTAATTTTAGTGTTTCATCATTGTTGCAAGGTACTTAATGCTATAAAATTTATTATTATTTTATCTTGTTGTACTTCTTGAATTCTTTTATGATCAGCTTCTAGGAAATATTCCAACTTATAATGGTGAAATTATGATAATACTTTGCTCATTGCCTGCTCAGATGTCATGGGTTGATGATGATTTACATATAGTACAGTTATTTGTAAGTGAACCTGAATAGCAGCTTTACCATGTGTGAGATGCTCTTTTATACACTTTTATGAATTTCAATATATGCTATTGCTGTGCTTGTAATATGTCTGTTCTCCTAATAAGTTACTCATATTTTGGACAAAAATTTGGCAAAATCACATCAAAAATACTAAACTAAGGTGTCAAACTGTTGTACCAATATAAAATTACAATGTCTGAAATATAAAATGAAACAAAATACTGGAAAAAATTATTATGATCAAAGCGCTTAGCAAGTTATTACAACAATTTATAATTAACTAAGAAATCTAATTGCACATATCATCAAATAGACACATTGGTTAGGTTTATGTCAATGGTCAAAGCCTCTTATGGAAGGGATACACCAAATGGCATATCTTATATTCATGCTACATAGTTTGTTCTGTCCATAATAATTGCATCTAGCAGCATCATGGTGATTTTGATTTTGGTCATCCCAATATAAGCATACTTGCTTTAAGGTGGCTTATCTAATCATTTATGACTATGTCATGGCCTATTAATTTTAGTTCTCTAATATAACTTGTTTGTTCTTGAGTTTTAGTAACCTTTTGGATCTTCTTTAATAAGCAGGTCAATTGTTGATTTGGTTGCTTTGGCAAGTCAATAGTCTTTTCTTTATGATTCTTAGTATAACATGCATGTGCATCATATAATTGGCATACTCACCCTAAATGTGTATGGTTCTTTCTTTGTTGTGTTTTGGCACTTGTCATGTTGTTTCCATTCTTTTATAATCAGAATATAGAGATTTTGGAGCTTTATTTATTTTTTGGTATTTGTACCCCATTGTGAGGATAGGCTTGGCACAATGGTAAGGTTGATCCTTTGCAAAGTTTGATATCAAGATGTGAATCTTAGAATAAACCTTTCTATAAGTATAGAAATAAAGTTGCATTCACTGATCTTTCTTAGACCCGACATTTGTAGGCGTCTTATGCAGTAGGTTCAGCCTTTATCTCTATTGCCTTGACTTCATAATCAGGTTTCATATAGTTTGGAACTTTGTAATTACTTTCAAATAAGGTTTGTTGTACCGCTTGGGTTGGCACAGTACAGGCAGTACGTACCGGTCCAATTCGCCACTGAGACGCGGCTCACTCAAGTCTCCGTCGACACACTCCGGCATATTGTGTGTTGGTACCAAGGTTCGCAATACCGTACCGTACCGGAGTTTCGACCTGGGCTCGGTACCGGTACGGTACGGTATACCGCTCGGTACACCCAGGTGTACCGAGCGGTATATTCAGGCGTGCCGAGCACTGTAGCAGGGTTTAGGGTTTAGGGTTTAGGCGTGCCGAGCGGTATATTCACGGTATACTGCTACAGTACTGCTACAGTGTCGGAACGGTAACATATGGTCCGTGTACCGGAAGTCTGGCGGACCGGTACGTACCGCCCGTACCGGGCGGTACGGATCGGTACTGCAAACCATGGTTGGTACACTGGTACAAACTAGTACATCTTGAACTAACCAATCTCCAATATGGGTCCAATACCCGAAATGGCAAACCCTGCTTTTGCAGTATATTTTGCATTACCTTCAAAATCTCTTCTATACCATAAAGGCGTGAATTTGCCTAAGCTAGTAAATTTCTGCTTTCAAGCTGATCTCCCAGAAGTCTTCTTGATTTTTGGTTGTGATGTATAATTGATCTTATAATAACCAAGAAAAGTGTGGATTATGTTAATGCATTAGATTTTTTGGCATTTGTCAATTTTACAAATTATGACCAAGTGATTAATTTTTTAAAAACATTATAGTCAAGGTTTAAATCAAGGATTGAAATTTCGTACCATACCAAAATTTCGAGATTTGCTCGGTACGAGATGGTATTGTATCTGAGTGGTATATTTCATAAATATATATATATATATATATATATATATATATATATATATATATATATA